TTTGTGCGTTTTGATAGAAAAACTGATTTTTTTGTGATTTTTTGGGTTTTTGAAAACAAAATATTTAAAACATAGGAAAAGATTTCTAAAAGTTTACAAGATCTGGATAATTTTTAACTAATAGATATGGGCAGAGATATTTCTTTCGCCTTGAATATTGACCATTACTTAACCCCCTGAATAGAACTAGAAATGGTTCACACCCAATAGTTTAAAATTCATGTAATAACAGTTTAGTTTCTATCGCAATTTTTTTTAGTGTAAGTAAATATTGTACTTTTATTTTCGGTTGAATCTTCCTGTCTTTCCAGTTGTTTTTCATTGAGTTTCGTCCATGCCAGAACAGTCCGATGTCCTTCGTCCTTCGTCCTTAGTTCTGGAATCCGTGTTGTTTGTGTCCACGTCCAAATCCCTACCCCAACCCGAAATTCAGCTGGTGACGAAGGCAATTTGCATTTGAAGGGGTCGTGTTAGCCACTGGGTGACAGGCATTAAATAATTAACTCGCATTCAACGTTTATTGGGACACGGGAAATGCGGGGAATGGGATTTTCAGGGCTCAGACAACGTCAAGTAATCCCCAAAAGAAAACATTTAACATTCGTAAGTGGCAATTGAATTAAAAACCAATAATATCAACCAAAAGTAACGAGCGGGAAAAGGGCAGGGGATTGTAAACGGAACATGTGTAGAGATATTTATTTAGCAAACATTGTGATAATAACAAGAGCAAAACCAGAAGTACGCAGAAAAAATCATGCTGAGAAAAAAAAGGGGGACAAAAATCACGTATTAAACTGAACTGAAGCATAGGTAACTTCAATATCAACTCAATTATAAAATCTTTGTTGATTTATCTCAATTTTGTGCCTTGAAATATTTATGATATAGGAATTCTAAATTTTTGAAATAAAAAGGGTAGTTTTTTGATAAAAACTAACTTAACTATTTTATAACATATAATACAAAGCTTAAGAGCTTGGTATTAATTTAAATTGAGAAGGATTTATTGAAGATAATTTAAATATTAAATGATTAATATTGCAAAAATGAGACTTAATGATAAAAATCATACAATTTTGGTATTTAAGGCAACTTTAGGCATTGGCCCTTGAAATTTTTCCTCTGTGGATGCAAAAAATGGCGAGGAAAATCTATCAGTCGGGAGAAAAGAGTCCGGCGACAATCGAAATGCGAATGGAAAATCAAAGGTGAAAAGATGTGAAAAGCAAATGGAACGTGCACGGGGAGCATTTAACTACCAGCCCACTTTCCGATTTTCCCCACTTTTCCCCCATTTTCCGCTTTTCCACCTCCACAACTCATGGGTAAGCCGCTGCTGAGGCACACATGACGTATTGGCAGGCGGTCCCTTGCCCCCATTTTTCCGCTTTTCCGCTTTTCCTGCTCGAAGCACCGGGGCACTTGAAAGCCCGGGCATATCTTGATTGTTTGCATGTAAATCTGCACAAAATCCCCAAAGTACCCAAGTACCCGAAGTACCCAAAGGAAGAGACAGAGTCCTCCTGATTTTTCCTTGATGTCCTTGGCGCATCGCATCGCATCCCATCGCATCGCAATCCCTGGCACAATCGAACCGAATGGAGTCCTGGAGGTGAGCCGAGTTACCTGTGCGCTTACTTCAGGTGTTTTATGTGTTCGTCCTTTGTGATTGAGTCAAGTCGCTGCAGGTGTCTTCTTTCAATATTCGTCCCAGAAAAAGAATTCATTCTTATTTAAAACTACTACTTTATTTAAAAAAATAAGTTACAGATTTTTGGGACTAATTTTCTTAATATAAATCTTAATTAAAATACCCTCCTATCCCCGTTAAAAAAAAAAAAAAAAAACAAATTGCTATTGCTTTAATTCGCTATACTAAAAATTCCTATATTGGTAATAACAAGGTATAAATTCATTATTATTGTAAAATAATATGTAAGGTTATGTATAATTTGACAATATGTTGTGGAATTTTAAAGTTCTTTTATAAGCAAATATAATAAAACTTTTTATATATGAACCCCAATGCATAAGCTGAAATAAGCACAAATAATATTTGAATAGCATTTTCTTAAAATAATAAAATAAATTAATAAAAGCTGAATAATAATTTAAATAAATAATTTATATCAATAAGAAGAACATGATCTGTAATTAAGAGATCGTTTTGCTTAGTAATAATAATAAAAGTAATGCACCAGCTAAAACATGAAGAGAATTTGTAAGTAAGTCGATTATAAAGTTAGATACATTTTCAAAATATTAAAGCTAAATATGAACTGAAACTAAATAAACTGATGTACCAATTGTAATGATAAAAAGTATTTTGTATTTTTACACCTTTACACAGTTTTAGCTATCATAAAGGTCCTTACAACCGAATCCTTTAGGACTTTCTGTGTGCACCCTTCTTTTTTTTCCCACATTGCGTGGCCAATTTTCCGATTTTCTACGATTTTCTGCTGCTCGTTTTGCCCTGTTCTTCAGGCAGTGCTTCCTCTGTTGCCCATTTTCCATTTCCCTGCACATTTTCCTATTTTTTTTTTGTCGAGCAACTACCTTTGTGGCAGCCACGCCCACTGCATTTATTGGAATTTCACAATAAACAAGCGTTGGAGGTGCAGAGTGCAGAAAAAAAGGATGCGACACTCGTAGGCCAAAGCCAAACCATGGCATTTGTACAAGTTTTTGGTTTGGCTGGGTTCACTTTTTTCCTTAACCCGTTTTGGTTTCTGTTTTTTTTTTTTTGTTGTTTTTTTTTTATGCAACAGCAGCAAGAGCAGCCCCTAAGGTCCTTTTTTTTGTTGTTTTCTGCGAAGGATGTAATTAAAAAAGGGCCAGAGCAACAGCATGGTGATGCGGGATTAAAAAAATGGAGCTCTGGAGCTTGTAAACTTTGCAGCACACTCGAAGTTGCGACAACAGTCGCCAGTCCCCACCCCTTTGTGTTTTCTAGACCCCCTTTTTAAGACCCCTTTTTTTTACCATCACTACCGCCCCCCCCCTTTTTTTAACCCCCATTGGGGTGGCCAAATCGATGAGCTGCTCTAACGATATCCATAGCTCAAAGCCAAATCTCGGCACAAACAGGATATACATATGGCTCGGCAGTCAAAGTCAATCCTTGCAGTTTCGAATCCCCCAGCCAGGATTCACACCCACCCACCCATGTTGTCGATGTGGATCCATCCTCCATCCTCCATTCGCATCCGGTGCGACTTGGGTTTTGTAGTCAAGTCAGCTCCTGTTTTCCCTTTTGGGCACCTCACTCGCCGGATTTGTGTTTTTTGCTCGCCTTTGTTTCTTATCGAGAGTCTCCTTTTTTTTTTTTTTTTAGCGGCCATTCTGCCCTGTGATATTGAGCCGGCCGGCACTCAAAGCGAAGCCAGTGAGCCGGGGCTTTTCCCGGCCCCATCCCTGATCTGATTTTGCAGCAATTTTGGCCCAGTTGCCGCCTTGACGTATTCGGTTTTAGTGTGATTTGTATGGATGAAAGGAGCGATGTGAAAGAGCTCGGGAAAAATCAGGAAAAGCGGGGCTGCTCGCATTGCGATTTCATGCTCAAAAGCGGACTGGCCATCAAACGGAGCTGAAAGTGAAACGCTTGGTCCACGTTTCCTCCATTTTCCCACCAATTCCAATCCCCAATGCCAATCCCATTCGCTATAGCAATCGCAATCCCAATGCCCGACTCGGATTCAGTTTTTGAATGGCCAGCAACAGGAGATGGACTCCTTATTTGAAGACAATAAAAAGGGGAATAGAAATGCCTGGGAAAGGAATGCTGTATCTGCATTCTTGGGGTAAATATTATTTCAACAGCGATCTAAGAAGAGGGTCGGTTAATAAAAGTGACATTCAAATGCTTACAAAACTACAATGATAAAACTAATTAGTATCAGTAATTTTTATTTAAGTTTGTTGTATCACAGATTTTTTTATTGAGGCTTGGAAAATCAACATATATATTTGGCTTTATTGGCAAATGCTAAATGATGTTTAAATATGATTTTTATACAATTGTTTAACGCGCCAATGTTTTTTTTTTATGTCTTACAAGAAATTATGTTTTAGATGCTTTGAATATTAAATAATGGTTATGGTAAAGCCATAACTGGTTATATTTATTACCTTTTTTTATTTTTACTAAATTATTTCATTATAATTTTTGTTGCAAAAATAAACCTTTCTGAACAACTCAAATGCTTTAATTTTAATAAAAAAAAAGCCAGCTGCGACTCTGACCCTTGGCATTTGATTGCTTGCCTCTGGATTTCCTACTCGCTTGCCTGAAGAAACCCCTTGTTTTTCCCTCAGCATTTTCCATTTCCACCTTCATCTCAGAATTGCGTCGTTTTTTCTTCCGCTCCCAATCGACCAGTGTGTGCATTTCCCAGGGAAATGCAACATTCGTTGCTGCTGTTGCTGCTGTTGCTGTGCCGACGATGTTGCTGCTGTTCAGACAATGTTGCTGCTGTTGTTGCAGTCGCTTCCGTTACATGGCGGCTTATGTGTTGCCGGTTGTCGGTTTCTGGTTGTTGGTTGTTATGATTTTCCTTTTTACCTAGACTTGCGTGTCACCCATTCCCAAATATATCAAGGGTATTTCAGCTTATGTATTTAAGGCAGTTTCAATTGCATTGAAATATGAAAAATAAAAAAGCAGAAATTTGTCACTTGAAATCATTATTTAAATTAAAATATAAAATGGTAATGGGAAAATATAAAATAGTAATTTGATTCGCCACCATTCCAATAATCATACTTTAAATCAAGAATTGTTTTTGCACTCATTTCATTGTGAATATAAAGATGTCACAAGTGAATTCAACAAATTTAATTAGACTTAATGAACAGAATTAGGTTTATATTTCTATCTAAGCTCTATTTCTTAATATTGTATATCGTATTCAATAATAAATAACGTTTGTAGTTTAACTAATTTAAATTTATTTCCTGAGGACCTTTAGGGCACATGCTTTTTTCTGGAAGTGTACTTTGTGATCTAACAGGCGAAAGTATGCCCTATTTATTAAACAATCGACTGCGCTCTGAAGTTTAATGAATCAACCATAATGTAGTGGGTATTTCTGGATCATTTTCGGTTTTTGGAGAGAGGAAAGGGATGCAGGATCCCATTCTACTTATCGAAACGCCCCGAATGTAGGGCGTGGCGGGTCACGAATTGTTTGGCCTTGGGCTTCCGCAGCTCCACCTCGTTGGCCAGCTCCTTGTATTTGTCATTAATGTACTGCAGTCGCGAGCTATTTACCGTGTGACGTCGACTTAGCGGATTGTGGAGGGCGGTGCGTGGGCGTGGCACCACCGGCTGGGGCTCCTCTTTGTCCTGGTCAAAATCCTCGGGACTCGAGGGTGTTTGGCTGCCCTGGAGAAATGGCGCCTTCATGCGTTGCGAATCTGAAAAAAGGATAATTTAAGAAAACTATAACAAAAACTGCAACTAGTTTATGAATTTCCTCCGATTTCTGAATATCTACTAACCATAACACATAGATCGCATAATCTTTTGACTCTGCAGAGCAGTTCGCATCTTGAAAACCCGCAGCATGATGCGAAATCACAAAAACCCTTAAGTTTTTGTAGTACCGGGATTGGGATGGATTCGGTTTCAGTTGATTCCCTATTCGCTTGCTGGAAAGTTCGTGGCGTTACTTTTTCGATTTTTTTTCGGGGGAGTGTAAAAAATGAGTTTGCCAGAAAGTAAAAAGAGCACCGTGAAATGGAATGAAATGAAATGCCTGGCTGTGAGTGGAAAATCAGAGCCTCCTGCCTCAACAAAACAAAAAAAAAAAACAAAAAAAAAAGGCCTGATGGGCATCCATTTCCACTCGCCCCCGCTTTTCCCCATTTCCACGCTTTTTGGTCACCATTTTCCCATTTGCCACCTCCCACCCGCTCTCCGCCCCTTGCATGCATATTTATAGTTCCGCTTGTTGACAAATATCGCGCTCTGTTGACTGACGGAAAATTCATCGGCGGAGCGGGAAAAGTCGGGGAAAAGCGGAAGCTGCACTGATTAGAAACGTAGTGTGGTGTCCTCGCTGAAAAACTTCTGGTGATGGCACAAAAAAATATCTGGGGGAGAAATCCTGGGACCGACATGCCCACACTCTTCGATTACCTATGTATATATTGCATTTTGTTGGGGAACAAGAGTATTTGGCTGTCGAGAACTGCAGGAATTTAGAAAATAAAATGATTGGATGTGGGCTGCACTTTGATTGTTGGGAAATTTTATCACTGGAAAATTAAGTTTACGAATCCAAAAAATATTCACTATATTATTTGAATATTCATTCAATAGGTTGTACAATTTATTTTATTGCAGAATACTTTCATACAGGTACCAAATTACGTAATGAAATTCATCGTTTTAGTGATAGAACATATCAAAACCTTTTTTATGTTTGCTAATTCTAAGGATGCAATAGCTTGCTTATAGGTGACCCAAAAACCGCAATAAAATATAACATCTCTATACATTTGTGATTTAATTTTCGAACAATTTGCTTTAGAATATTGTTATTTATTGATCATTAATTTTTCGATCGATTTGCATGTCAACATTCCGATTTAAATGTGACATACCTCTGCTTTAAGCCTGTTTTAGACTCATTTTCATGATAGTTATCTCCAAGTTTTTGATGATTTGCAGGTTGGTGACCCAAAACAGCTCTTCTGAAGCTCATAGTTTATTTATTAATAATTTGCTGAAAGATATGAAATTCAATTGATAGTAAAATTTTGACCCTTTTTTTAGCATTTGTTTTATTAATAAAATAAATTTACCCAGCATTATTATTCAATCCAGGATTAATATATAGAAAGCCAAGTTATAATAAGCACAAATAGATTTTGGTAACCCCAAACCTTACCTAATTTTCTTTGATAAATACCTATTGTTTGTTCGCATTACAACTATATTACCATTATAAAAAAAGATATTCTTGTGAGTTGTAATAGATAATTGCATTTAACCGAATCGTAGGTTGTACTTGAATGAATAAATATTTTCCCCCAATAAAGGGCATGAATAGTTCACCGGTTTTGGATTGGGTTTCCTGTGAAAATGCACTTGTCATGTGCACTTGCACATCCTGGAGAGTCCTTTATCCGTATCCGTATTCCCCTGCTGCAGCTAAACCAATCCAATGCCATGAATACAAAATGGCTGCATCGATTGGTGAGCTCGAGCCGCATATTTCAGCGATTGAAATATTAATGGGTGGCAATGGATATGAAGAGGATACAAATCCAAATCCGAATCCGAATGCGGATCGGTGGCAGCGCCGGCGCTACACTTGTCTTTGTTCAGCAATTTGTGGCAACAATTGGCACAAAGGGCGGCGGACAATAAAAGCCACCTAAGACTACAGGTTGCACTGGCATGTGTGGATCCGCCTGCGAGTCCGCGTCCAGATTCAGATTTCTGTATTCATCCTACTGTTTCCCATTTTCTGGCTATTAGCATTTGGATAAGCCGCACTTAGGGCTAATATATATGCATATATGGTATGGCCGGCAAAAAGGATTCGGCAGACTGTTCGTCTGGGATAATCCTTCATCGGGCGATCGTGCAGGTCCTTTGTTTGTGTGTGTGCCATTGTGCAACCGACACTTGTTCTCGTTGCCCAGTAAATACACAGAGAGCACAGGCAATACACTGCACAAAAGCACACCCGGCCACAAAGGACATGGCAGGATGCTGAATGCCGAATGCCGAATGCTGAGCTGGATCGATCGATAGCCCTTTGTCCTTTGGCCGAGATCCCTCCGCGATCCACTCAAGATAAATTAGCCCACAAAGTGTGTGTAAGCTTAGCCGGGGGATTAGTTTCGGTTTCGGGGGCTGGAGCAGAGTTCATTTTCCATGGGCTAAGGTTAGGTAGGCGGGCGATCTCAGACGGCGTGTCTTCCGGTTAATAGATGCCTGGAAATGAGGGAATATACTCCTACGCGATGATAAAAATATGTAAACAACAATTTAAAAATAAAGTCTGTATCTTAATTTATTTATTTAGCAATTAAAGTGTGTAAAAACGTAGAAAAGTTTAAACAAAGTTACTCATTATTAGAATAAATAAAGTATGGTTAAACAATAATAATTGATTTTATATATTTAGCACTTAAAAAGTATTACAAATTAAAATTAAATAAAATAACTTGCTTAAGTTTGTTCAAACAAAGTTACTGATTGGCAAGCCGAACATTGTATATAATAAATTATATGCCACTTACAGTAAAGTACTATATATGTCGTATAAGTGCAATTGCATTTTACTTCAACATAATCAATTTTTGTCTTAAAAAAATATATATATTTTTATAATTTTATAATATTTGAATTGGTAAAATATCTTGAGCGTTAAAAAATAATACTTATTTCTAATATAAGTATGTACACTTATTGTTGGTTCTTAGAAAACAATATATTAAAGTGTAGCTAAACATTTATGTATTGTTTACATATTTACTGATATAAACAAACAAATTTTTACTCACTCCAACGATTATGTATTACAGTCTTTTGGTAAAACTGTGTACAATTTCTTTCAAATTTTATCCTTATAAATCTAAATGAATAATATAACTCTGTCTGACTGTCTGACCGACTTTTACTATATACTAAATAATAAAACTATGATATAAATTGTATTTTTAAGCAAAATGTAACAATTGTGCAATAGCACACTTGCAGCACTAAAGAAGTTCATCAAATAAATACAAATAATATATTTCCTTGATCAATATTTCACCGACTTTGTCTGTTTCTTTCCCAATATTGAGCGGGCAGAACGAAATTGTGTACATAAAAAATTACAATACAGAAAAGTTTATTACGAGAAATCCATGAAAATCAATGGAATGCGAGTAATAAACAGAGCCAGCGAGGGCAAACGCAGAGCGAAGGGGATTGCAATTATTAAAATAATGTCCACAGGCCATTGAGTTCATAACGCGAATGAGGCCGCAATAAAATAAATAAATGAAGAGGAACTTGTCCTCAAATGAGGCATGCAAATGTCGCCAGGCAAAATAACAAAGGACATCGACTGCCTGAAAGCTGAACGTTGAACGCTGAACGAGGACGGTGGGCAGGGAAGGGGAGTCGTCAGCTCTATCATGGTCGTCCTGGCCCATCCTGCCCTGAAATTTATTAAAAACAAAGAATATAATGCCGGCGAACGCCGTCGAAAATAACAATATCCAGAGGGGCGGCGACTTTGGATGGTGGATTGGTGGATTGCTCGATTTTCGGCCATTGGCCACAGCTGTTGGCCTGATAGATTAAAGGGCGGCCAGATATTAAATCTGGCTTGTTTTCCCCCCACTTTCACATTCCACAGCCGCGAGGAGATTATTAAAGAAATAAGATAGCCGAAAAAGAAGGGGAGGAAATCTTGCAGTATCTGGCCGTGATTCTTAATTGAGGCAACTGAAGTTCGCGGACAAAATTTTGAAGGGGGGAAATTCACCGGATTTTAGTTATTTTAATTATGTGAGTAAATATTTAAAAATTGTAAGTACTTGAAATAAATCTAAGACAAGTATATATTGCAGGTAATTTAATAAAATAACAATTTTATGATTATTTTTTGAGTTTTATAGCCATTATAAAATATTGTTTTATTTATATTATATATCACATTGCTTACAAAATAATGATTTTAGTCATAATAACTATTTTTTTAGTTCTACTGATCGCTCAACAAATAAGTATTATTGCTGATACAGATTTGTGTTTTATAAATTTAATGTTATTAAGACCTAACTTGATATTGCATCTACACAAATAACATACTTAACGAATATGATATGTTCATATAACTAGATTTCTTACTTCCGGAAAACTCCTACTAAAACCCCACGTGTGTGGACTTTCCCACACAAAACCAAAAAATAAAAATACCATTAAAAATCATTTGACACTTTTGCCAATAAATGTTTTTTTTTTTTAGCCAGGATTATCGCTAAGTAAGTGTGACTGTGACCGGGAGCAGTTTCAGTTTCGGTTTCGGTGTCGGGATCACAATTTGCAGACTGACCCCCGGGCAAGTGCTTAACCCGCTGCCAGCCGAGGGGGTGGAAAAAAAATACGACAAAGGACAAAAAGTTGAGAAGTTCAAGTGTATAATTTCGTAACAATTGGGACAGTTTTAGTGCTTCGCCAGAACGAAAAAGGAGCGAGGAGGTCGGTGTTTGGGTGTTTCGGTGTTTTTGGTGTCGACGGTGGTTGCTCCCGTGTTTCCCTTACAATTTCCACATTGCCCGAACTTAAATGCGGTTTCGTGTTACACATGTGCGTCTAATTAGCGACTGCTTAACGATAACAAGGACAAAGGACAAAGGACGAAGGACGACGGACGACGGGTCGGAGGTCCTGTAACTAATATGCCAGAAAATTAGGGGGAGCGTCCCGTTAACGAGCATGAAATTATTATCGAACTGCGATTAATGGGTCCTTGCAGGATGTGTTATGTTGTTGGGCCAACACTTGTCCTCTCCTCGCATGCGTGAAGCAGGTCCAATCTCCTCGGCAGGATGACAACTCAAGTGCATTCTCCTTGACATTCCTGCCCTTCAACACTTTTCACACGAATTCCGGCGCCACGGCCTCAAGTGCACTTCCGTCTGCAATTCTCCGGAGATTCGAAAAACTCGGACCCATAGCAGCTGTTCGAATTTGCCTATTGCTTACCAACCCCCCACCCCCCCAAGTCTCTATTACTTAGCA